CGGCGGGACCGAAAGGGAGGGAAGGCGCGCCCTCGGCGGGCTGAGGAAGAACACGCGGGGAACTCGCCGATCGTGGGGAGCCCTTGCGGGCCTGGGTGCAGGGAAAAGGCTGGGCGCAAACCCGGGAGCTGCCCCTTACCACCCAACCCCGTCATTCAGGGCCGGGAATTGGGCCCTCGGTCTCGCCGCCTCCCCTTGATTTATTCCCAGCCTTCGCCCTACTCGCCCCGACTCTCCAGTGGCTTACAGAGAAGGAGGCGTGCCCCTCGCGCTGCCACCCGCTTCTAACGAAGCCCGCCCCGACCTGGTCGCGCCCCGCCGCTCGACGCGCACCCACCTCCGTAGAAGGAGAAGGGGCCGTTGGGGATGAGCTCGCCGGGCTCCAGGCGGTCCACCAGCGGCCGCATCCGGCGCGGACTGCGGAAAAAGGCGTGGCGCCGGGCGCCCAGCGCGCTCAGCTGCTTCATCCTCCGCTCTTTGGAGCGCCGGTTCTGGAACCAGACCTGCAGCACATGGCGGCGGGGTGAGCCCTCCGAGACTCCACTCCCGACCCCGGGGTTCTCCAGGCCTAGCCAACACCCCTCCACCGCCTGGCTGGCCGACTCCGCGCGCGAGTGTGTGTGTGTGTGTGTGTGTGTGTGTGTGTGTAGGGTAGTGGTGACGGGGCGATCTCCAACTAGGACCACTCTGGGTGGACCCTGAGCCAATCAATGGTGAGCAGGAATCCCACAGAAGGACCTGGACAGGCTGCCCTGTCTGGAGGGAGGCAGTTGTGGTATAGCTGGGGTTTTTCTAACAGTCACACTATCACAGTTACAGTTTCTCTGGGGCTGTACACACATAGAGACTACGCCTCTCCAAAATAATGTCAGACACACACCGGGCTTCCATTTCACGGTCTCTTGCAGCAACCCTCCTCCAGCCATGACAGAGACAGAAACAGCCTGTAATGCCAAAACCCACAATCTCCTTTTCACACCCATGCACAATCTCACAGTGCCAAACATACTTATCCACAGCCTCTTGCCAATGGTGACACAGACGCACAACTTCTCATTCATGCACACAGGTTCTCACAGTCTCCCGCAGGCCTCAGGGCCTTCCGTGTTGCACACATGTGCACACGCACGGCCAGCCTCCCAGGCAGGTACATCCACCCACACCCACGCAGGGCATCCAGGCCCGGTTAACCGGACACCTAGCACTGAGCCAGAGATTCCCCTGGCCTGGAGCTTCAGCAGTCTCACCTCCTTTCCTCCCACAGGCCCAGCTGCCTCCAGGTGGCCTCCCATCCCCATTTCACTCCAACTGGCTGGAAGCAAAGCTGACTCCTGGGGGAAGCACCTCTCTTTGGAGGGGAAGTCCCTGATCTGGGGCTTGTCTAATTGGAGCAACGATCACAAAGTTGGAGTTGCAGACTTAGAAGGAGTTGACTTTGTGCAGAAGGTAGAGGCACTGATTGGGGGACACTGAGACTTCTCTGAGAACCCGAGATGGGGGTGGGGTATGTGCAGAAAGAGGGCTCCCCACTCTCTCCAGAGTGTTCAACAGTTCCCCTCCTCCAGTCTCTGGCTGAGCTCCCGCCCCTCCCCCTCCACTGCCACGATCACCTCTGTCGGGCTGGGAAGAGGGCTTTCTAGATGCTCTAAGGCATCAGGCATTTCATAGGTCCCGCAGGCTCGGGATGTGTCTAGGCACCCCACCTCCAGACTCCATCTCTCACTTCTCTCTGGATTCTGGGGTCTCCCGGGCTCGGCCTGGGTCCCCAAAGTGGCAATATGGGCCTCTGTGGGATGGAGAGGCGCGCCGGGGCCTGACCTGAATGACGCGCATGTTGAGGCCGGTCTCCTGCGCCAGCTGCTCGCGGATGTGGCGGGTGGGCTTGGGTGTAGCAGCGAAGGCGGCCTTCAGCGTCTCCAGTTGCTTGGCTTTGATGGTGGTGCGCGGTCCCCGCCGCTTGGCGCCCAGGTTCTGGTCGTCATTTTCGTTGCTACCCCCTTCCTTGTCTGACACGTTGGCGCTCTCCGAGTCCTTGGCGTCGTCCTGCGACGGGTCTTGGGAATCCGGAGACAAACTGGGGTCACTGCCCGTGGTGGCTGAGAAGAGGGAAGGGACAGATGAGCCGGGGCCTTGGCGAGCCTTTCTCCCCCAGGACCTGCTTGCACCTAGCCAGCCGGGAATTGGGGCCTCACCCGAGTGAAGGCTGTTCTCTTTGGCAACACTGCTGTTACTTAGGTAATCCTCTTTGCAGACGAACTTATTCTCGTCGATGATGTAGAGCTCCTCGCCAGTGGAGAGCTGCTTGTTACACATCATGCAGGTGAAGCAGTTCAGGTGAAACACTTTGCTCCGCGCTCTCCGCACCAGGTCGCTAGGGGAGATGCCCTGCGCGCAGCCTGCGCATTTGGTACCGAAACACCTGCGGGGGTGGGGCGGGGGCGGGGGCGGGGATGGGTCAGCCAGGGGCAGCGGGGAGACAGGTGGAGAGAAAGATGACAGCGAGAGAGGGGGAAGATGTAAAAAGTGGAGGAAGTAGGAGAGGAGAAATGGAGCGGAGAAATAAGGGAAGAGAGAGATAAAGAGAGGCAGAATTCCGGTTAAGCAGGTGAGGAGGCAGCAGGAGACACAGCACGGCACCAGGGAAGAGTCAGGGAAGAGATACACGCGGTTAGAGCCAGGGGCCCAAGCTGCCCCCCAAGCCCCAGCCTCACTCCCAGCGTTATCCCAGAGGAAAGATGCATCGTCTAAAGAAGGTGGCAAGGCAGTGGCCTGTGGGGGGGTTGGGGGGAAACAGGGGACACTTATTTTCCTATTAGATTCAGAAAAGTCGAATTATAGTTAGAGCTTTATATAAACGTGCGCGGAGCGCTGCTTTTCTCTCCTTCACCGCAAAAGGACCCGCACACAGGGGTGGGGTTGGCGAGGTCTAGTCCCGCTGTTGGTAAACAAACATAGCCGCGGAGAGACCCCCGTAGCCACAGCGGGGCCGCCGCCACGCTCTTGCCTGAAGCGGGGCAGGTTGGCAAAAGCGGGAGCCGCGGGAGCTGGCTCTGGGCGCCCTGCCGCGGGTTGTGGAGGCCAGGCCTCAGGGACCCACTGGCAGCGGGTACGAGTACGGTTTGCCACCCTCCCGCTATGATCCAGTCATTGCAGAGGAAAACCGAGCAGCCCGCGGAGGGTCAGAGGCTCAGCCCGCGCGTTCTCCCGAAATACCAGCGAGCACGGAGCTTTGCTTCATGATTCCACGCAACCCAACCCCAGCCTGGAGCGGCATTGGGGACAGCGCGTCTTGGCCCTCTGAGTGGCTTTGAATCCCTCTTCCTCCCTGCTCCCTGGTTTGAACTATGACCACAAACTTAGAAAACCAGAGACTCGGCTGACGCCGAGTAAATTGCGAGATTTCACATCCGTAGGGTAGAATTACAATTCGCATTTGCGCCCGTTCTTCTCTGTTGACTTGTGTGTTTGTGTGGATGGAGTGGCAAAATTGTGAGTGTAAGATAATATAATTAAAATGTTAAACGGATAAGGGGAGTAGGGAGAAGTCTCCCCACCAGCAAGCTGGGGGTCTCGGCTTTCTCCCAGGTTTCAGCAAGGAGGTTGCTGGCTGTGGCTGGCAGTTTCCTAGGAGGACTGCTGAGCGGAGCCCGTGGGAGTCGGAGTCGCCTGGGGCTGAAGCCGAACCACCAGACAACTTCGGCAGCCAGGAGAGCAGGGAAAAACTCCGGGCACTTCGCAGGCTACAGTGAGGCAGTTTGGCCAGGTCTGCACTCGGAGGCCTGTCCGGGTTTGGGGAAGACCCCCGGGCATGCAGGATCGGCCTTAAGGCCAAGTTCTTTCCTGCCGCTGACAGGGCAGGTGGCCCAGACACTCTACGCAAAAGGCTCGGAGCTTCCCGCCAAGACCGCTCAGGGTCGGGAAAGGTAGTGACTGGGAGGGAGCCTGGGCTCAGCCTGGAAGGCAAACAACCCCGAAGGCCTGGAGAATGCAGTTGCTGCAGAGCTTGGCTCCGGGAAAGACAGCAGTCCGGACTACAACGCCCGAGGCTGCCCTGTCTCTTCCAAGCTTGAAGGGGCTTCTGGGCAGAGTCAGGCTCAGACCCTTTCTTCCCAGGCACGTGCAGCCAAACCCAGACCCATAGTTTCCAGGATGCAAGCAGGGCCGCATCCCGAGCTCCCAGCGCGCCAGCTGGCGGAGAGGCTGGCGCCCGCGGGACTTGGCTGCCCTCTCTAGAAGCAGTTCCTCACTGAGCTGCGAGGCCACGCTAACCTCTGATCCGAAGCTGGCCGGGAAGGGCCCGCGGGGAGGCAGCAGCAGAGGCCTGGGAGGAAAGTACTCACCGGAAGAAGTCGTTCTTGCAGTAGAGTTTGCCTTCCCTGGAGAAGCACTTCTCGGTCAGGTTGCATTTACATTCACAACACTGGACGCACTTGACGTGCCAGGCCCTGTCCAGCACGTTCAAGAGAAAGCGGTCCAGGATGGGCCTTTTGCAGCCGGCACAGTGAACCATGGTCTTTGGTTTGGTCTGATGAGGCCCAGAGAGAGCGGGACAAAGTAGAGCCCAGGGCTCCTGAAGACAACCGGCACGAACTCCCCAGTCTCTCCAAAAAGAGGACACACACTCGGCCGTACAAGCCAAAACCCGCACCAGGAAATCAAAGTAGGGTGGAGAAAACGAGGCTGATCGGGGCCTGGGGGCGCTTCAGTGAAGTGTGCAGCCGGGGAGTCCCGGGGCCCCGGGCTATAGCTGCCCCTCCTCAGCTCCAGGGGCGAGGAAAAGAAGTCTCAGGCGGGCGAGAATGCGACCCTTTTGCCCAGAGCCCGCGGAGGAGTTAAGGTCGGCGAGAACGGCGGCGGGAACGGAAATAAATAAATAAAAACGGAGACGAAGAAGACGACGACGACTCGGCGAGCTCGGGTTGCGAGGAAAGCGCCGCTGAGTTCTCCCGGGCTTGAGGTAGAGCTGTCAGAAGTCAAAGTGCATCTGCTTTTGTCGGGGTATGAGGGCGAGTGTGTGCGTGCCAGGCTGCCCACCACTGGGATTTCCCCCCTCTTTTTAAAAAAAAGGAAAGGAAAGAACAAAAGGAGCAGAGAAGCTTTGGATCCTAAACTGCCGGCAACGCGCCGCGGGTCCGGACGCGCCGAGCGCCCGCGCTGGGCCTGGGGGAGGGGTCGAGGGCCGAACGAGGGGGGAGGGAGACAAGGGAGGGTAGGAGGAAGATCTTGGTGTTGATTGCTCTTGTTGCTTAGGTTTCCCCGCTTTTGGAGAAGTGTTTGTGTCAATCGAAAAGAGAGGGACAACTCCGGGCGGAGGCAGCCAGGCGCACTCGCTCCTTCCCTACCGCCCCAGCCCAGTCACCTCGACCCTTGGCCTGCCTGGCGGCCTCCGTGTCCTCAGGGCGACCCTCCCTGCGCCCGGGCTCCTTCGGGAGGCACTACGGGCTGGCTTCTCACCGCGCCTGGCCGTGCATCGTGGCTCCAGTCACAACTCGCGGCCGCCTGGGCGTACAGCCCCGCATCGCTCGGCCCACGCTCTGGCTGCCTCCGTCTAACCCCACAGTCGCTCGACTTTCTCTCCTTTTCCTTTTCCCCTTCTTTTTTTCGTTGTGGTGGCAAATCTGGGTTTCCTTTCTAGCCTCCTTCCTTTTTTTTTTTGTTTTGTTTTTTTGTTTTTCTTTTGCAGCGGGAGGAGTCGGGGAGGAGGGGGACAGCTTGGAGAGCTTTAAAAAAAAAAAAAAAAAGTCCTGGCGCAGCGGCTACAGTAGGCCGGCGGCTGGAACGGCTCGGCGCGGACCGCCGCTGTCGCCGCCCGGGCCGCGGCTCGTTGCTGGCCCTCCCCGGGCGCGTCCCTCAGTCCCTGGTTCCTGGCCCAGTCGCCGCCCTGGTGCGTCTCTCCCCAGCTCCGGCGGCTCGGTCACTGCTCCTGGCTGTTGGCTGAGCTCTGGAAGCCCCCTCGCCTTAATGCAGCGCCCGCCGACGTCACTGCGGCCTGCGACCAATCAGCGCCTCGCGGTCCCTCTGTAAACCATTCTGCATCCCCCGGCCCGGGAGAGTGCGGGGAGACCGCGTTTAGAGGATCAGTGGCGGCGGCACCCGCGGCACCCGCGGCCCCGCGCTGCGCGGACGGCGGGCAGCACCGTGCCCGGGCCCCCTCCTGCTCCGGTAAGGCGTGGGTTTCGATGGGAGGGACAGAGAGAGAGCGGGAATAGGCGCAGGTGGAGGCCAGAGTTCTGCTGCAGAGTAGGGGTAGTCCAAGACCGAGCCTTGTGGAAGGTTGGGGTGCAGCCGGGTCCAGAATCCCAGGCGGCTCCGCTGCACTGCTGGGCTTTGCAATTCAGCGGCTGTTGGCGTTGTCCCCCCTTACTTTCTAGACCTGAAAGTTTGTTCCAGGCACAGCGCACATCTTTGGAGGGGGAGGGGGCGCTTAGCAGCAGAATCTCCCTCCTCCCGTCCCTCTTTCTGTGCCCCCTCCCCCAATCCATCCAAAGTCCACAGGGTCCGGGTCCTGGGCGAGCTGAGTGTCTGTCTCCCACAGAGCACTCTCGCAAAGTTGATTCGGGCGGTTTCCTGATGGGGGCGGGGAGACCGGAGGCGCGGCGCCGGCGCGCGGTAAGGAGTGGACCGGGAAGCGCCACGGGTGAGGAGTTGCAACCCTGGCGAGAAAGTTGTGAGAAAACTGTGATCCGGAGACACCTTTTGCGTACAAAAACAAACGACTAGGCGGGAAACCGGGGGCTCCAACGGCGGCTGGGGGTGATGGTCGTGGCGTTGGGAAGAGGGAAGGAGGAGCGGGATGCCAGGACGCCACGAAGAGGCTGCAGTAGATGGGCGTGCAGTGTATGGGCAGCGTGTGCCCGGATTCCAGTCCTCCTCTGTCCAGGCTTCGGGTTGGCACCGGCTTTCCCAGACAACAGCAAACCACACCCTCCATAGTTCACTCCTCAGGGAACCCGTAACTCCTTAATCCCTCTCTGGCTAGGAACTCGGGACCGCCGCCCCCAGGGGCGCATTTGCCCAGACGTGGCGGACAGATCCTGGTCTAGAGTGCCTTCGCCTGGAAGAGTTACTTTAGTTTTTCGGAGCACTCAAGTCAAACCCTACATTCCGTTTCGACCACACCTGTTCTGGGTGGGCTTAACCAGGATTTCTCCTGAAGTGGAGTCTGAAGGTGGTTGGGCTTGGGCGGTCCCATTTTTGCCCCCATTTTTGTGCTTTGGGGGAAGGAGTGCTAGGAAGGCTCATTTCACCCGAGCATGGAAGACAATGATGGTGGGCGTCCCTCCGGAGCTGGCTGGTATTGTGAAATTGGCCTTTGGACCCCACTCGCGATGCGCAGACCAGGCGGAGGCTGAAACCGGGAAAACGATCGGGGAAGCGCAGTCCCATTGAGCTTGGGCTGGCAGGGAATCCCGCTGTACAGATGGAATACCCTCTTCGGACGAAAGGGGAAGCTGCTACAGCGAATCTGGCTTGAGCTCCGGGGAACCGTGGGGTTTTAGGGCTCTGCCAACGCCCCTTTGCTGACTCCACCCGCACCGCCCAGCAACCCCGAGGCCCACAGGCAGCCCCCGCCTTGCCGCCGGCGTCACTATGTCATGGAAACCGAAGCCGCGGAGACCTGCAGTGCGACTCGTTGGCGTTCTGCCCTGACCCCTGGGTGCCAGAACCCTAACGCCTTCTCCACACTTTCTTGCACATACACATGTGGGCTCCCGGCTGCCGGCCGGAGGAGCGCAGGGAACTAGTCAGCTCCTGCGCGCCGCCGGCCTCCGCCGGTCTCTCCCAGGCCCCGAGGCAGGGCAGGGCAGAGGATGGAGAAGGCGGTTCTGTGACCTAGCGGGCGGGCTCCGCGGGCTCGACTCGGCTTCGCGCTCCTCCTGCGGACCCGGCACTTCCCGGCGGAAGCCGACCGGTACTCGGTAGGATTCTGGCACCCCCGAAAGCGCCAAGAGCCGTGTGGCACTGGGTCCTCACTTCCTCCACCCGGACTCCCAGGCGCCTCCCAGCCTGCTGCGCTGCGTGAGGCCTGCGGGGAGGGGGCCCATCCAGCCCTGCTGTCCTCACCCTCCTCCCCTCCCCCGCATCTGTCCTGGTTCTCGCCGCCAGCGCTCTCGACCCAACCGCCCCTTTCTGGAATCTATAGTGGCCCCAGTCCCGGGTGGCTCGCCTCCGCCCCCGTCCCAGCTGGGCTCCTTCTCATGCAAAGCAGAGGGGTCACGGTGGAGTGTGGGGCGGTCAGTGGGACCTACCAGACGACAGCTGGACCCAGCTGCCGGCCCGTCCCCAACGCAAAGCCTGTCACATCCCTCTGGTGGGCAGGAGGAGGTTGCTCCATCCATTTGGGGTGCAAGAACCTTGGGACCTAGGTGTAGAGGAAAGAAGGCCCCTCTCCACAGACGGACCAGCGAGGTAGGGGAGTTGAAGGTGAGGACAGGATGGTCGCTCTAGGGCGTCAGGCTCTGTTCTTCCTGGTGTCCAGATGGCTCAGTAAACAGGTCCGCAGGAGCCAACCCTGGCGTCTACAATGGGGGTCGGGAGCGCAACTCAAAGTGCGCCTCTTGGCTCCAGATTCTAGGTTTGGAGTCCAGATTTAACTCCTCCACGGGGACAGCACATTAGACTAATGGTGGGTTTTGTTTTGTTTTCGTTTCCATTGAGCTTTTGTTTTAAAACATAATCGGTCGCAGGGACATGGAGAGAAAACTGACCAGGCTTTCTAAATTCACCTTCTCCGAAGCCTCTCAGCTCAGCTCTGCATTTAAGCCAGTGTCCGTTCAGCGAAGAGTGCCAACCTTCCCTCCTCACTTTCCAGGCCACACTTATTGTCTGCATCCTCAACTACGCAAGCGCTTTCCTACCCAACGTCCTCCACAGACCCACAGCCACTTACACCGCCCAGGACCTGTACATTCTGGACCAGGATCCGTGGGGATCATTTTCGCTGATAGCTCGGTGACTGCAGAATCCTTTCCACCCTCCTCCCAGTCACCCCCAGATATGGCCCCAGAGGGCCTAGGAGGTGACTTTCACAGTCCAGGTTTCTTTTCTTGAGAAGCTCCTTGACGATCAGCACCAGATCTCCCCAGATGCCTTGCAGTTTGGGAAGCCTGAAGGTGCCCCTCTCAAACTTCCATCCCCCCTCCTTCCCCATGAGGTTCCAGAATGATGCTCGGCCCATGGACAGAACCTGCCCAGTCACCCCCCTGGCCATTTCCCTCCTGTCCCTTCTGCTCCAGGACAGCCCAAGGAGCAGAAAAGAGTGATAAGGCCGTGAAAGGAGGCATCTGGGGCGGAGCCGGCTCTAGGAGGTTACCCCATGCCGAGTACATACTCAGCTACACCCGTTCCGGAGGAGGGAGGAAAGAGCACCCCTGGACTCTGCCGGTCCCAGAGGCCATGCAAACTCCGCCCAGACTCGGTGAGGCCGCGGTAATGCCACGCAGGGAACTGCGTGGATAAGGTCGCTCGGATCTGAGCGCCAGGGTCTCCCGCCTCACCTTCCCCTCTAGATCTCTCCAGACTCAAATTGCCTTAATCTCACCCATCATTCTCTCATGGAAATGATCTACTCGTGTGCAGTACTTTACAGCTTTTGTCACGGTCTCCCCTGAACCGTATAGCAAGGAGGTGGTCGGGGGTGGAAGAGAAGGGTACTGTCTCCACTTCTCCTGCCAGGGAGCCCAAGTTAGGAGGCTTGCCCGAGATCCCTAGGTCAGCGCACTATTTAAGGTGAGAAGTTGGGTGGGGGGCTTGGCACCTTGCTCCAGTGTGCACTTTGCACCCGGCCATGTTTTCTAAGCAAGGGGGGCTTGGTCTGGTTAAGGGGGAGCAGGGACCGCAGGACTGGGAAAGGGCAGCATCCGGCAGGCCAGGGCGTCACGGTGTGTGCCTGGCCTGGATAAACAACTCGGGCTTCCCACGAGCGCTGGAGGGACCCTGGGCATGGAGCAGGGGCGGGGCGGGGTGGGGAGCGGGTGCAGGGGGCAGGTGGAACAGCGAGGTCAAGCGTGGAGATCCCCGTTGCCAGTCAGCTCCGCGCCGCGGAGCAAAGACACGGCGTGGATAATCTTGCGAGGGAAACGCTGAGCTGAAGAACAGAAAAGAGAGATAGAGGCAGAAGTGAGGAGAGAGGGACAGGAAAAGAAAATAAAGGCAGAAACCCAGAGAAAAGACGAGACGGAGTACGGAAAAGCAGGCGGGGATAAAGGAAGGAAAGATCTGTCGGGGAAATGCGGGGAGGAGTGGAGGAAAAGAAACAGAAAAGAGACCCAGCCACGAAGAAGGCCGCGGGGATGGGCGCGGAGCCGAGGGTCCTGCAGGCACGAAGCGGGTGTGCGGTTTTGGGACAGGCGAATGCGTGCGGAGGAAGGAGGCAGCGTATTTGGTGGGAGACTCTGCGCCCGTGGAAAAGTGGCTCTGGGCAGGAATCCAACAACTAAATAAAACGTCTAAGACGGCGTGACAACAATGTGTATTTGGGTGCGTGCCCGTGTTCCTCTGTCTGAACACACTCACACCCAGTAAGGAAGACAAACGGGGCTCGTGCCTCACAGTAATTAATCCTCTCACTAATTGACTCTCTCCTCTTACCTAATGGCGGTGGTCACTGCCGATATCTGGAGAGATATCAAGTAGGGGGAGACAGAGAGAGAGCGAACCCCAAAGCTAATGACCTTTGGGACTGGGATTGAGTTTTTTCTGGACTTGGCAGCTCTGAGCCCTGCCCCCACCTCCACTTTTGGGCAGAGTTCCATAGATGTTGCTGCCTTCCTTCCCCTTCCAGGTTTTGGGCAGCATTAATAAAGATCTCCTCAGATTAGGGTCACACACACTGAAGCTCTTCTGCCGCCCTCCACCTGGGGAGATTAGTTTCAGAGGCTGAAAGCCACCCCTGTCCCTGGGACATTTCTTACCTCCCTGCAATATCAAAGCTCCCCTCCCTTGTTGTTCCCCCAGGGGCCCAGACCTTGCACCCCTTCCTTCAGGCAGTACTAACTCTTCCAAGGACCTGGGCGGTGTCCTGCAGTCCCCTAGGGCGGGTGGGGTTTTGAATGGGCTGAGAAGCAGCCTGGGGTTGATGGAAGGAGAGCGGTGGGAGGTCAGGGCAACGATGGGGAGAGGCTTCCAGAGACAACCCTCCTCAGACTTGGGTTGAGAGACAC